GAAATTGTTATTCGTTCCACCTTCTAGTGAGCGGCAAAGACCGGGAACAGCGATCCAATTACGAAACACGGGAAATAGGGATTTCTTTGGTACGTCGTGTGCAACGATTATGCCATTTTGTTTTTGCCATCCTAGGTTTTTATTATCAGGTTCTGATTACGGGATGTAGAAGGTGAGAAGTGTAACTAAGTTCAGAAATAATTACGCTCGTTAACTGTCAGCGTTATTCTTGGACTGTCATAAAATTAGTTGTCGACCGAAAAACTTGCATAATCGATCGAAAGAGTAAAAGGGAACTTGGCGGTTTCTACTTGTATCTAGTGTCTTGTGTCTAGTGACAAGTCAATACATGAGCATGATCATAGGAAGTGATTCAAAATGAAATCGGATGTTCTAAACACCATCTCTTTATTGTCCATTTACTTGATGGCTCGCTTAACAATCTACTTCTCTGTTCACATGATGGATCTTTACTTCAGCTTTAATGGCACTTTTGGAGCCTTGAAAGTGTTCGAAAATTGTTTCTCGCCTCGTTAGACCGCCAGGTAAACGACTCTCAATTATCGTGGTCGGTGGGAAAGCTTGCAAATTTCCTTAAAACGGGGGCGGTTTTGAGCGAGCTTGGATTTCATTAGCATTACAAATGACTCGGTCAGGGATAAAAAAGAGAGGAGCGGTGTTCAGCGGAAAAATATAAATTATCCACTTTTATAAATGCTGAATCGTGAAAATATATTAATTTCTCTAACTTGCAATGTATTTAATAATGTCGTTTCATTGTAGCACATAGACATAAAAGTTGTAAATGAAACTAACAAGGAATATCATGATAAATCAACCTTTTATTCTAAAACAAGTTATTTAGGAGTCACAAGCAGACGAGGTGACTAAATAGAATCGTCCGACTGCTCGTTCAATATTTCAGTAGGTCGTTAGCGCAATTTGCTTTTGTCTAGGTTCTCGTTTAGCTTTCGACGATGTACCCGTAAAATTGTTGACAAAATTATTTCTCACTTAAGGTGAAGTGAAACATCCTTCAAATCAGTCGATTCGAATGCAATACTTTTTTTTAAGGGTATTAGACCAAACTGTTCGAAACTTTGACACATCACTCCTAATCATCTAAGAATTGTCCTGACACATTGAAAATTTGGATTTTTCAAAAAAATTTTTTAACTCAGTTCAGACCAGAACCAAAATGACGTCGAGCTCTCATATTTCGATCAATATACAATTATCGAAGGCTCTGACATGAGAAACGGAAGGGTCAGGACAATTTTACGACAATTTAGAACACTCTGATAATCGATAAACTCGCATTTCAACGGGATAAAGGCAAAAAAAGTGTTCTATGCGCTTCTTTGCTAAAACGATGGTAATACGAGGTCTCGGAGTGAAAATTTAATTGACCTGGAAATCACAGATGGCAAAAAAAGTGTTGTATGCGCTTCTTTGCTAAAACGATGGTAATACGAGGTCTCGGAGTGAAAATTTAATTGACCTGGAAATCACAGATGGCGCAGGGGGTCCCTCCGCAGTCAATTAGGGCCCCAGAAGGCTTGAATCCAGAGGATTTCTGGAGTTTTACTTCGATTTCTTTATAATTATTGTACGAAAACGACAGGTGGAATATGCCATTTGGTACAATACCCAATATAATTCGACCCAGCTGTCAATATAAAAACGAACGTCGGCAACGTAGGCATTTAGAAAAATCTTCTTTATCGACGTTGATCAAGTTCCTCGACGTGTTTCACTTCACTTTAACCGTTTTGTCCGCTTGTACCGGTTTATTGAGAGTTAAGGAGTCTTTCGTTATTCCATGACCCTCTCACCCATCGTTTAAAATTTCCCCTCGAGGGAATGGATTTTTTGCACGACCCTGAGAAATGTTTCCGCACAAAGAGCCGATAAAAAAGGACTCGAGTGGAAGGAGTCAAATTCGCATCCGAAGTCTCGAATCTGCCGAGTTAATATTGGACCTTGGTTGCAGTTTCATCAAACGACTTTGATCACTTGGTAAATTTTACATTGATGCTAATGACGGTTCTACGAAGCGATTAGCGAGTACAAATCATGACTTAAATCACAAGATCAGGATTAGCACCATCGCTGACCGTCATCTGACTTTAGACGTACAGATCGTAATTACTACGTGTGCGATGATCGATCGTGACTGACCTTGCAGGTGATGAAATTGGTACATGAAATTGAATTGTTTACGGAATACTTGACTTAATTTGTATTACGAACATTTGCATACAGCTATAGAATTTGATATACCTGTCAGAATTTATTACAAATTACATGTTTTTGAATTCAAAGATTTACGTCTGGAGTTATGTCACAAAAATGCTTAAAAACATCTGAAATGGTAGGCCAAAATTGAGTGAAATGACACATATATTCGCATTAGGTCTCAGATCGGTGAATACCGCAACCGCAGCTGTACAACTCATTGTCAGCTGTAAGTTGTAATATGCTGTTTGATGTGTCATCGAACATTTGGCGATTATAAAAAGCTCACAAGACGGTTTAATAAGAAAAAGTTCTTACGTATTTTCGCGTTCAAACGCAATTCAGTTTTAACATTATTTTACAAGATTTATCTCCACTGCTCGAAAAGAAAAAAACTGCAACAACAAAGTTGTGCATGTCTAATAACCACGTATAATGTTTAGCATAATGAAACAGACTACGGCCATACTTTGGTAATTACATGTATATTTTAGACCAAAACTGAATAACTATCTCTTTGAATTATCCTACACAATATATGTTATATTGTTTATTATCATCGTATGTTACCTCTGATTTGTACAATTTCTATTTTTAGATCCTGCGATTTTATTGGCCAATAGTCTATTCCGCATCGCTTATATAGAAGTGGATACTTTATCTGATAGTTTCCTATTTATTTCTTTATTATTATATAATATTACATAATATAATTTAATTATATTTATAATAACAACTTATTTTATATCATTAATACCAGTACAATATCCGATACACGATATAATAGACGTAATAGATAATAACGCTTAATATCTAAACATATTTATTGTAATCGTGAAAATCTTTAAAAATTATTTGCCGAAATCTCTCTTTAAAACCGTGGATGGAATTTGCATGCAACGCCCCGCGATACGTGGAGGGCTTCGCGAGCCCGTACGAAATTATAACACTCGTCTGGAGAACTTTATAATTGGTAAATATGGGCCTCGATCGATAAAACGAACCTGTTACAATGAGACGCAATTAACCTCGTTGCCGCCCCACCGAATTAATGTCCCGCGTGGCGAATTACGCGGTCGCCGAAATGTCGTCGCGTTTCGCGGGAAAAATCGAATTTCGCGAAACTCTTCTACGCACCTCGACGCGTCACGTTGGCATTCATTTTTACCGGGTCTGTCCATTATTTGCCGCGATTGGATTGCGCACTGTCTCCCGTTTTTCCTCCCCTTGTTTTTCTTTTTGTAATTTCCCCTAAACGCTCGTTGCTCGCGCCACTCGAAGCGCGCGTTTATTCATGGCGGGAGAGGAGCGCAGCTGGGGAAATGCCTTTTGCTTTATGTGCACCGCGATATGGAAGAAGCGCCTCTTCCCAAATGGCTCCTCGGTACCGGATTTTCAAATTTACTGGCCTGCAGGGAAATGCGTCTTTTATCGGCCTCGAGAACCGTGAATTTTGCGTATGAATATCGCCTACGAAAGAACCAGCGACGATAGGGAGGTTTGATTTCCTCTTGAGATTTATTTTTGATTCGAGGGGCTTAAAAGGTGGCTTGATTGATATTCGGTAGCTTTTCCAGTGCTAAAAATGCGCTGTTGGGAGGTTGTTAAAAAGTACTATTGTTTTCGAATAGGTGCTATAGTACGGCAGTATATTTGGAAGCTTTTTGAGAGGCGATGACCTCGTATTTCCATCATTTCCTACAGACGGAGGTTGGAAAAATTGTTCGTATTGAAGAGTTATTATTTAATTCCCTTCATAAGCTTTGGTAAAATCAGTTCTTCTGATTTAATAAGTGTTCGATTCGTTTGGGAGATGTGGAAAGGGGGAAAGTATTGGAATGGTAACTGTACTTAATTTTTCTACTTTTTTTATACGCTTAGTGCTGATAGACAATATAACTATGTTCAGTAAATGACAAATTCGAATTCTGCCTCGGAATAATATTTAGAATAATAATGATATTACCATTGTCAAAAATGAATTCTTTTTCTGAATGCAATGGACGTACCTTCTTGAAGAATTTTCCGATTGCCCAGTGTATGCATTTTCACATTTATATTATCCACGTGTAGTGAGACATTTTATGAGAGGTATGAAAACCATTTTTCATTCCTGTCATCGTATAGACCTGTGCTTAAGGCGTTTCTGGAGACTTTTAACATTAAGGATAAGAACATTATGATATCCTTCAGGCAAGATTGTAGAAAAAAAGAACGCACGAGGTGTTAACTAGGTGAAAAATGTTTCTTAGGAGGGCAATAAATCTGTGGAAAATATCTCTCTCTTTCGAGAAAACCTTCCGCCAAGTTCGGCGTTTCCATATTACCTGTGCTCACCATAAATCACGAAGCTATATTTTCTTTACTTGTTTTACACAGATAAAACGAAAATAAGCACTGTTTAGGGCAGAATTAAACTGAGCATATAAATCTTGAAGCGGGGTAAGATACCAAATACACTTTTTAAGTGAAATTGTACCCTGCAATTTGATGTGTCAGATAAAGAAATTGAATTTACTGAAATTATTGAACTTATAATAAACCATGGATGAGTCAAATTTCCTTCTAAAGTTGAAAAAAAATATATTATTTGCTTGTGACGTTATGAAAATGTAAAATAATCGGAAACGTGAAATCAGAATTTACGTAACACTGAAGTGACGATTGAACGAGGTCAAAAGAAATCGGTTATATTTCTTGTTTTACATTTAACCATGACTACAATAATTACTGAAAACATAATTTTTTCAATCTTTTTGCAGCATGCAATTCTTGGGGAGAAGTTCGCCCGAGAAAGAGCAGACCGCCCAGAATTGGCGAAATTCCGAGGTATGTTAATGTATGTCCGAAATCAGGTACTTAGATGTCGATACGTCATTTGCGAATGAGATTTTTAATTAGGACCTCATGTGGTAGACCTTTCATTTCCGGTGACACATTCCGATGTTCCTTTCCTTTTCGTTTCGCGAATCATCGCGAATCTGCATTCGATGGCTTCTCGGTGCGATTGGCTGGTGCAATTAAACCAACAGGAAGATGAAATCGCACGGTTACAATTTCAATTAAAATCGGCGGGAACTCGAGCTTTTGCAGTGATTCGTCGAGGACGTACGTATAAATCCGTGTATGGCTGACCGGGCGTTTTCAATTTATGCTCTAACATACGTGCCTGTACGTGGGCGATGTGCTCCGATAGCTTGATATACATATGCACCACTCTCGATTCATCGAACATCAGTGAATATTCATCGAAAGGCGAAATGTTCGAAACCAATCGGGAGTTTCAATGGTCCGTACCTTCAACATCTTATTCAATCATTTGCTCATTGAAAGAAGTCCGGAAACCTATTGCAGAAGATTCTGCTTTAGCTTAATGGGGTGCCGATTTATCGCCGTTTAATATAGTCCCATCTTGATTATTGAATTGAATATTCAGTAAAAGGTTCAGAATACCTTCGAACCCTTTACCAATTGAACAAATTTTAGTAACTCACTGCAAAACATACCGTGTAAGAATGGAATATTGGTCTAAATTAAAATTTAAAGACATTTATTTGTTCAGAAAAAATTCTTCACTTTATTAATATAGGTATCGAGGGGATTCATCTAGGAAATTATGGATTTCAACACCTTATCTACCGGAAGCCTACTAAACGGCTTTACGATACCTGTGATCGCCATTTACTTCCAAATTCGCCGGTAGATAAAGTGTTAATGCTCGAAATAATGTGGAAATTAGCTGGAAATTGCAAGCAGAAATCACTGGAAATTGCTGGAAATCACCGAAACTCTGTCACAAATTTAAGGCCGATCGTTATTTATTACCGAATCGCATTGTTATTCATCATATGAAATCAAAGGCAACCGGCTCTCAAAGACAGAAATCGTTTTCACTTATTTCCAAGTGTATAGCCCCTCGACAGGTACATGAATATTAATCACCTGTGTTATTTTAATTGTATAAGGTAGTGTAACTATAATAAATTAGTGTCCGGTGCGCAATCTTTCAAGATTTTTTATTGAAAAAATAGTTTGTTATAACCTAATCTGAAGCAGTGGATCACTAGAAAGCTTATCTTATACATTCATTCGATCTATGGAAACTTAAACATTTTCCACGCCAAATAATTTAAAATTAATTGCACGAAGGAATGTTGTAGTACAAGACAAGTTCTTTGTCACCCGGGTGATAAAGCTGGGTTACACGAAAATTTAAAAAGTTAGAAGAAAATTTAAAAATGAACATACTATTATTTTACGTTTCTATTATAGCAGATAGCGTAGATCAATTTTTTGTTTAAACCAAGAAAGTCCATGATCGCTTTTGTAATCAACAGTTAATTGAAAAAATATCTTTTGAAATAGACACGTCCTTCGATGCATTCAGCAGTGATAGATGCACGATTCGTCTTTTCGAGGACGGAGTCGAGAATATTAATGACGGTTTTATCATACCGAAGAGCACATTCCCATTTACTATTCAATATTCAATAAATCTGAATAGCAGGATAGTATAGAGAGAGTAGAAGAACTACAGCGTAGCCGTGCATGTAAATAGATATTTTTAACCGGTGCGTCGATAACGATCGATAACTGGACGAACGACTCGTAAATAACTTAAGATTGGGGTTTCACAATGAAACTTGGAATTAGTCATCGCTAATTCGTTTTTATGCTGTAAAAAGCGAGACAATAGATTTCGATGTCTGCGGTAGCAATCTTAAACATGAAATTAAAATCGTAGTATTAATAGGAAATTATAATAATTATACATAGATACAATTATCGATTATGGCAAGGAATTCCATGACAAATTCGACTTTTAAACTCCATGCTTGTTAATTTAACATTCAAAGGATCGCTCGAGGTAATGGCAATTTTAAAAGCTATTTTACCCAAAGCGAAATCTCGTATTACTCTAATGCATGGCGCGATTCGAATTGACGCTTCTAAAGAAAATTAAATTGGTTCCCCTTCTGGCCATATCCGGTTCGACTTTTAGATTCCATACTTGAAAATTCAACACTCGGTGGGTTGCTCGAAGTAAACGAAATTTTAAAAGGGATTTCAGTCAGTGAATATGTTCGTATTACCTTAATTTGGGACGTGATTCGAATTTACGCTTTTAAGGAATTAAATTGCGTCCCTTTCTAACCGTACTCAAATCAACTTCTAGGTGCCGTACTTGTACATTCAGCACTGGGCCTAATGCTCTGGGTGAATGCAAGTATAAAAGCTATTTCCTTCCTGCAAAAAGTCGTATTAGCCTAATTAACGACGTGATGCGAATGTACGGTTTCAAAGAATTTAATCAGCCCTGCCCCCTGACCATACATTACAACCAAATCGATGTTATCTTGTATTATCGATTTCCCGACACCCTGTGGCGGAAACGTTCCGTTATCGACGCATCCCCGTCCTTCTTAATCAAGTACATTTCTTATCGAGAAACGTTAATTACCGCTACCACATCAACGATCGAAGGCCTTGCGCCCAATAAACAACATGATTTGAATAATCGGTTTCAAACCACAAAAGGACATCACTTTGCGTACCTACGTCAATTCTTATCAAGAAATGTCAAGAAATGTTGTTGAATTAATAATTAACACTTTATCGACCGGCGAATTTGGAAGTAAATGGCGATCACGGGTATCGCAAAACCGATTAATAGGCTTCCGGTCGGTAAAGTGTTAAGTATGCGCCCGAGTACACAATGCGCAGTTCGTGTGTATGCTAAAGCAATAAGAGTAAACTACTCAACATGCAGGGTTAATCGAACGATTGTCGACAGTACGTTGTATATCCAGGCACTGCTGAACGTGGAATACCCGTAAATGAATCGTATCTAAATGTTTATTGAACGTATGTAAGATATAAATATAGATATCTATGAACTCTATTTTAGGTACATTGAAAGGCTAGATGTCCAGATATGGTACGTAATATATGAGCCGCTCAGTGCACACATCGACTAACTCCACTTTTTGAAAAATCTTAAATTTAGGTGTCAAAGCACTTGGTATAGTCATAACTTTTTATATTTATAATATCTTTCCTGATTAATAGAGATTAACACCATTAAACGGCAAAATTTTTTTGGGCATTGAATAATAAGTAATTTATTTCAGAAGCCATTTTGATTAACTCCATCCTCTAATGTAAATCGTAGACGAATACCTGGCAGTATAGTATTATTGGATTATCTGTTGCGGCCGTACATCGATGCTTTTTTTTTGAAACAGCCAAAGATGCTTTCCCCCTTTCAACAATATGAGTAATAAAATCGCATCAGCAAACAGATAGAAAGAAGCGCAATGCAGACGGTAATTGGTATAACAGTGATCTCTCACGCTGAATCTTACTGTATACTTCACCAATATTACACGGACTACATATTTTTTGGTCTTTTCAACATTACTCCCTGATTGTTTTTAAAGAACTAAATATTATACCGTTATAATCAAGATGAGTGAAACTAATAACAATGTGGATGTGGAAAGCAGGGATGATTCTTCAATACGATTTATCAGCAGAAAGTCTGGGGCAAGAAGACGTTTATCGTGTTTCTCGGATTCATCCGATTGCAACGGTACAAATTCCCCAACAAACACATCGATTGGGAGGAAAAGAAGTCGTAATCCTGATAAATGGGCACGAAATTTACAAAAGCATAACGGAACAAAAGGTTTGGCATACAGGAATAGGGGAGGAAATTTAATACCTGCAAAAACATTTGTCGATATAAAATGCAGACGATTATTTTTTGGCTATTCTTTCTTATTAATTTTATATACCGTTAGATGAAAACTATAACTGTATTTATGTATTCTACATTATATATTTGAAGTTATATTATAATAGGAATTTTAAAAAAGAATCTACATTACTTCATCGCATTTCTCAACTTTTTGTTTTATGGAGTTAATCAATGTGTGCACTGAGCGGCTCATATATATCGTAGATATCTACAATATGGTACAGATGGTCTACAGATATTCAAATGTGTTTGTAAAAAAAATTGAATTCATAACACTTTTTGAGCAGTCTGTTTGAGAACTTGATCAGTACGGCTATGCAGCCAAATCCTGCTGTTTTCGACACAGACAAATTTTTTTGCAATTGTCGGGACTTAAATCCGGGACTCATGGAAGCAGGAACACTAACCATGATGCTACTAAAGCCTATGAAGGAATAAATATTTTTCGGACTTATGCAGACCGCTCCGTACTTGTCGATCGGTGCTAATGATACTTATTGCATCTTGTAAACTTATTCTTAAAAAAAAAAAACTCGGAAGTGATTGTAAAATTGTCATTAAAAAAAATGTAACAGTATGTTATAAAACCATCTTTTTATTTAAGTGTATAATAAATGTATACCGATTCACTTTTAAGATACTAAACTCATAATTTTAGGACACCCTTATATACTAAAAGTACATGAATTATATGAATATTATTTAAAGATATTTCATTTAAATGTGCGCAATTTTTTACAGTGTAATTACATTTTTATAAGCTGTGAAAGCTGAATATAAATTATCAATTTAACGTTTTCGAATAGTTCAGATTTTTATGCAGGTTATCTAGACTTCTATGATATATGTTACTGAAAATATCGGCGTGAAAAAAATTGACATATATGTTCACGGGATATTTTTATTACGCATACCATAAATAATGTAAATTTTCTATACTTATGTCCTAATTTGTACATCCACTATAAGTATATTATACTTCATACGGTGCCTGGTAATACATTATAATTTACACAGTGGTCGAAAATCATGATGTACGGTACCCAGCCAAAGAGGAAGTAAATAAAAA